GAGAGAGAGAGAGAGAGAGAGAGAGAGAGAGAGAGAGAGATATGAGACAGCGAGGGAGAGAGATATGAGACAGCGAGAGAGAGAGATATGAGACAGCGAGAGAGATGACAGAGAGAGAGAGAGAGAGAGAGAGATATGAGACAGAAAGAGAGATGACAGAGAGAGAGATCTTTGTCTAAGATATGATGCAGACTTAATTCTAAGCTCCATTCATACACAACCTCTTACTCCATAGAGTAAGTATATCAAAAAAAAATTTAATAATCCACGACGCATCATAATTTCCATTTAACTTAACTTGAATGCATCGGCTCCTTGCAAATGGAGAAATTAAGCAGGTGTCTGTTCTTAATTGAATATTTAATTGTATCGACGCCTAATATGTTGACACAATATTGTGCCGTAAATACTATATTAATTATCTAATAATTGCAGGAAACGAAAACAAAAAGAATGTTATGGTAAGGACCTCTACATCGTACGGATGATACATAACCTTACTCTTTAAAAGAAATACTGCTATATGCCGGAAAGCAAGATTTGAATTGATGCAGATATTATATGGAGACCCCTTTAGATGACTGCAAAAAATATAGTGGAAAATTTTTGATCAGAAACTTAGGGGGTGTCCCTTCTTCTAAGTAAAGGCAAGTTTGTGTTCAAGAAGGATCTTACGTGAAGGCAGAAGGGCAAAGAAGGTAGCAGTCAACTTAAAAATGAAACGACTCGAAAGGTGGGAAAAACCTCTACACAACGGTCTGTTCCTAATTCGGGTAATGCGGTTTATACTGAATTTGTTCTCATACAGCTTGTATCATGATTCATTTGTCTGTACCGTTGCTCGTTCAAAATAAGCTAAATTGGTCTATGAATCTGCCTAAAATCGGCAAAATGATATATTTTCTAAATAAAGTTCGAACCTTAAATTACGTTGCAAAACTTCCCTTTTTCATACTCACGGGAAAGTTTAGCTAGGCAGGAATAAGGATAACAAGACAAACTATCAAAACTAAGAAAAAATTATGCAAAAACAAAGCTATTTCTACCTTGTAGACTTTGTTGGTTGGTAAACGCTACCAATTACATAAATGGCAACCTACCTAAGATATACCTAACTAAGGAGCGAATCGACTTTCGCTAAAATAGAGATGTACATGGATGTGTTTGTACATAGATAATGGGTCAGGGACCGCTATCAACGTGTTTAACGATGAACGGGTATACCCATCAAGCACAAAATTTGAAAACCGATTGTAATGAAAGAAACAAATGTAAGGCAAAGACAAGTTTGCAATGATAAAATTTTATATGGAAATCAAACAAGGACTGACGGACAAATTATGATATATATACACAATTGCCATATTTAACATTAACTGGTCACAAATTTCGTGTGAAAGCCATGTAGGGTGCCATTGTTGTTATGATTGCCGTCTACCCTTTATAGTGCGTAAAAAAAGTTGCGAAAGTTTTTAAAAAGGGTTCGCATATTCTTGAAGATTTATATTCTTTTCTTGGCGGTGATTGCGATTTTAGCGAGCATGGAGCACGAGCTAACTTGTATAGAACGTTTTCAAGAAATCATTAAAGTGATACGCGTTATCGCTAAAATGTGCGGCTGCGATATTCTTAATCCCAACTATAGAATGAATTTCATAACATGGCTTTTAATTGTGGGAGTAAATGGTTTCTTCTTATGTACCATTTATACGATTTACAAGGGTATGGCAATCGATCATGATTGGACTGTTATACCAGTCTGTTTGTGCATTATTGGAAGTGGTATACAGGTGATATTAAACACAAAAAAAAAATATATATATATACATATATATATATAAATAAATAAATAAATAAATTCTTTTAAAAATTTCTAGGGTTTTGCCAAGATTTTGTTAGTATTAAAGTATCGAAAAGTGATCGTAGTTCAACAATATTTTTTGGAAAATGTTTATACCGTTTATCAGCAGAAAACCGAACGTTATCGTCATGTTTTAAATCGTTGGTTAGCTTATACAGTGAAAACTTATAAACTTTGTGCGTTTATGTATGTTTTTGTGGGTTCAATAATTATCGGTTTTCCATACATTTATTGGTATATTTATGGTATACGAATGATGATAATGCAATTTGAAATACCTTTTGTCGATCCTAATACCGATGTGGGTTATATAATACATACGTTATATCATTTTCCCATGATCGCTTGGGGCTGTTTAGGTCATTTTATGACCGATATTTATATGTTTATGTTTATTATTAATGTACCGCTATTGAAGGATTTATTGGAACAAAAATTTTTGGATTTAAATGAAATACTTGAAGAGACCAATGAAAGGGAAAAAGTATTCCCACTACTTAAGGATATCTTTCAATGGCATCTACAATACAATGAGTAAGTGTGTTGAGTACAAAATTCCATTCTAATCTTATCTAGCATTGCAACCGCATCCGTTACAGATTTATAGCAGGTGTCGATAAAATCTATCGAACGATTATATTCATAGAAGTAACAACCTGTGGTCTCAGCATTTGCTGTACAATATTTTCGATTGTTTTAGGCGTATGGCCAGCTGCTTATGGTTACATAATTTATCTAATCTTTTGCTTGTATTCTTTCTGCATTATGGGCACATTGATAGAAATATCGGTACGTTATTAACATTCTATCTATGAATAAGTTTTGCATTTTCATTAAATTTGTCTTCTTTTTTTTATCTCTCTCTCTCTATCTCTCTCTCTCTCTCTCCCTCTCTCTCTTTCTTTCTTTCTCTTTCTCTCTCCCTCTCTCTCTTTCTTTCTTTCTTTTTCTCTCTCTCTTTCTCTCTTTCTCTCTTTGTCTCTCTCTATTCCAAATTTATCATTTTAGAACGACAATGCAATCGACATCATTTACACTGTTTCCCATTGGTACGAATTAAAAGTTCCCGAGCAAAAAATGATTTTAATTATGCTGAGTAAGTCGCAGAAACCCATTGAACTTACGGTCGGTCAAATTTTGCCTTTATCCGTAAGTACCGCCTTAAAGGTTACTAAAGGTGTTTACAGTTTCTTAATGCTGCTGCTAAACTTTTTGGATAAATGATTTGTTGCAAATTTATTGTAAAATTCTTTTTAGCAACGATTTTAATTAATTAGCGAAGCAATAAAGATTTTAAGTAAAATTTTGGTTATAATTGCAAACACAAGAAGCAATAAACTTATCTGCCATTCATAAAATAATTCATTTAGATAAACCCAATATAATATAAGGGAGGTTCAAGCACCTTTCAATATTTTTCGGACTAGCGTACATTCAGCGTAGTGGCAAAGCTCAAGTTTGAAATGGCGGTTCGCTTGCTAGATTATGCCTAGCTTGGCGATGGCTTAAAGATCGTTGCATCTATATATTCTTAGGTCCACCTGTGAGGAAAAAACTTCATGTTATGACAATGTTTCGCTTCACAAGACAAGTAAGTTTCCCCCGGTGTAACACTCAACGCTAACTGCCAAGTATGTGAGCGTTGGAAGCCACACTCTAACTTGAGATTTTGAATGCTTATCCTCCACTTAAGAAAACAAAAAAAGTAAAAGTATTGTGGACCACGGTCCCACCATTAAATACCCTACACCATCTCACTACGTTGTACGATTATTGATATAAAGACTTCCCGAATTTGGATTTTATATGGAAAGTGATTGAAAGAGTTGTCCGATCTGAACCGTTTTCAACAGTGTTCGTCCTTGAGCCAAAACATATGAGTATACCAAATTCCTTCAAAATATCTCGAAAGTTGGGACCGGTATGTTGAACACAAGAATGCAAGTTGGGTAGAGGGAGAGAAAAGTTTAGGTAAATTAAAAAAGTGATCGATCTTAAGCACACCTGCATGTTATATACATCCGCATAAACCTACTATATGGGCTACAATCATAAGCATGTTGCTGGAACTCAATCATCCACCGGCATATGAACAGTAAAAATTTCCCGGCCTTTACCCGACAAATAACATTCATACCACCATACCAATGATAATTGTATGCTGACAATTTAGGGGTGTGGTGTTGCGAAATTTTAAATGGCATACGAGGTGTGTTCTAAATATGAGGTGACTTCCCAAATTTCGTGGGCTACAGACAGAAAAAAGCACGCCAAATTTGCCAGAAGGTCGTACGTTCAATAAGGAACACTACGTCGAAGTTATGCGCCGTTCGGGTGAAGCAATGTGAAAAGAACTCTCGGAATTGTGGAACAACAGCAAGTCATGGACATTGCGCCGCGATAATGCGTCAGCTCACACGTCATGGCTTACTCATAATTTTTCGGTCAAATACAAGAGCGTCGTCATACCTCAGTAATTATATTCACCGGACTTGATCTCATACGAGTTTTTCCTGTACCCAAAGATGAAGAGATCGCTGAAAGGACAGAGTTTCGCCACGCTTAAGCGAATAAAGACCGCATCGCGGGCAGAGCCCAAGGTTGTATCAAAAAGTGCATATCAGAAGTACATCAAGGATTGAGAAAAGCGCTGGTACAAGAAGGGGACAAAATAGACGTTGATGAATAAATAAATTTTTTTCGAGAAACAAATAAAGTGATATTTTTTTTTGAAGGCCCCTCCTCTTCCTCCTATACATGTATATGGTGTTTGCAAAAGTTTTGATCAGTGCCTTCTGCAGGTTAAAAAAGATAAAGAAGTGGAAAATACCAGCCTATATAACGGTTGAATTCGACCGTTTTGACCTTGCTCTACATAAAATAACAGTTTTCCATTATTGATTTATTCAGCGTACGCCGACGCTAATCATGGAGCGCTCCAAATTCATTACTTTTGCTGCTTATTTGAAGAAATCTGCTGCCGAAGTCCACTAAACCCGTTCAAAGGCTTATGATGATGCTGTTCCATCATATACCAATTATCGGTTTGGACAGATTGTCGCAGATAGAATGTGATCTTTTGCCACCCACCAGACACGATGCCTCCTGATTGCCACTTGTTCAAGTCGGTGCAGTATGGCTTGGCTGGCACGCGAGTCCCCTAAGTCGAAGAAATAAGAGTACGGGTCGGTGATTGCATCGCTGCCAAACCCATGTAAGTTCTTTCGATATGATTTTGCAGTGTTGTCCAAAAATATTGTAATATATTATAGGAGGTGATGGAAACTATTTTGATTAATATATATTGTACCAATTTTCCACAATAAATGCTCTTTTCAAGGGCAAAAGTGATCAACATTTTTGCAAACGCCTAATATGTATAAGAAGTAAATTTTTCTCTAAATATTTCAATTTCTTTGACCCCCTAAATGAAAATTTTAAAATGCCGGTAAATCGCTTATATAAAATACTTTTGAATATTCATTTCAAATGCGGCTAAATAACTTTTTTCATTTCATTTGCATTATCTGGCAACACGTTCGCTTCTGTCGTCTGACAGTTAAAAAAAAAGAGAGCGACTTTAACAAACGAACATGGAGCTTACAAAACCACAACACTAACACCACCATGACACCACTATACCCAAACAAAACATAGTTCTCAAAGAGTAACTAACTAAACAGTCAAATATCCCAAGTAATGCAAAAAAAAATATAAAAAATAAATAAAATAAAAAAAATGAAAAAAAAACTCCATGAACAAGTGTATATACATTAAATAGAGATGATCTCACACACTCAGCTTTCCGAGAAAATGTGAGAATGAAAACAAAAAACGTGAAAGAAAAAATAAGAAGAAGAAGAAAAACAACATCTAACAAAAAAAACCCACTCGCACTCTATAAGTTAAGCTTGCAATTGAATTGCAAGTGAAGTCAGATAACAACCGGCTCAGTTAGCAAAACACAGTTACTATTTGAACGTCGTGGCCGTTAGTATTAAAAAGCGGATATAACGAATAAATAGAAGAACGCAAGAGAAAAAGAAAAAAAAAAACGAAAATAAAAATAAAAATCCAGATAGAAATTATAGTGGAAAATATATAAAAAATATATATATAAAAAAAAAAAAAAACTGGTATATAAAACCTAAAAATATAAAAAAAACTTTTTCGCATTAAGTTTTCTTCTTCTTCTTTTTTTTTTTTTTTTTTTTTTATTTTTTTGTTTTAGTTTTATTTAATAGCGGTGTCAATGGTGGTGGGATTAAAGAGAGAATTAAAATAAAAAATAAAATAAATAAATAAAATCCACGCACAAATTTTCTTTTTTAAGCAAAAAAAGTCTAAAGGAAAAAAAATTCTTTAAATTTGAAAGATAGTAAAATTTCTAAAAAAATTTGTGACAAACTGAAAGAAAGAAAAAAAAAAAAAAAAAAACCTTTAAAAAGTGCTCACTGCACTGCATAACAAGTTTTATGCTCTGTGTGCTGCTTTTCTTCTTCTTCTTCTTATTTTTTTTTATTTTAAATATTTTTCGCTCAATGTGAAATCATCAGTACGTCGTCACAAGCAGCCCGCTAAGCCAGCCAAACAGCCATACAGGCAGTCAGCCAGCCAGCCAGCTAGCTAGCTAAATTGTATGATTGTGTGTGTGCCTTAAAGCAAGTGTCTACATTTTATGCATATATCGAAACGTATGTATGGATGTATGTATGCATTTATTTACTTATATCTATCTCTACACATGGAGACGTTATTTATATACATAGACAATTGTGTTATATGCGTATGTGTGTGTGTGTGTGTGTGTGTGTGTGTATTTAAACCATGTAAAAAATATTTCTCAAGATCCAAATCGTATCTTTTATTTATTTTTTATTTTTTTCATACATATATGTATATATGTATGTAAAAATATTTTTGTGTTTTTAGTGTATTTTTGATTTATTCTGTTTGTTGTTGTAATGCTGTTAACCTCACTTCTTCTTCTCTCGGTTGATGTGCTTCTTTTTAAGCTATATGGGAAAGAAAGTTTACCCTCAACTACTACATATCTTTTATTTTGTTGATATTTTATTTATTTATTTTTTTTTTTTCTTATATACATATATATATATATATATATGTGTGTGAATATGTCAAGATTCACATAGTTAAGCTTTTAGCATTAGGTTTAGTTTTTGTTTCTTCATCGGAATTTTTTACATATATATTTTATGATTATTATTATTATTATTATTATTATTATTTATTTTGTTTTCATTTGCGCATTTATCTAAATTTATGCATGTACCGATAACCCTTTGCTTGCCAATGTTTTTCTTTTTCTCTTTTTAACCTGTTCATTATGTGAAGGTGTGTATTGTTGTTGCTGCTGCTGCTGCTGCTGCTGCTGCTATTGTTGTTATTATTGTTATTATTATTATTATACCAACTATCAAGTGCAAAAGTTTTATTATTATCAGCATGACATTCTAAAGTTTTTTTTGCTTTGTAATGTCTGCCACTGATATATTTGGAAGCATTTTATAAATAAAATCCAGTTAATAATGAATGAAAATTGAATTGAATTTAAGTGAAAGATTATATATTTTTGTTCGAATTCACATTAAGGAAAAATCATAGAAATGAAACTCAAATAAACGGTAGTTCATTAAGCCCCTGTAGATAAGTTTATAAAAGTTTACTCTAAGGAATGGAGGACATACTTGAGCTCTTCCAATAACAATGGCCTTGTCTAGCTTGGCGATTTTCGACCATCAAGTGGTTTAAGCACCGGAACTTCGTTTGCGTTATACGAATGAGTCAGCTTCAAGGGTCTTAAGTAAAAAGCGGAGGGTATTTATTCGCTACTTGCTTGGAATTTTTCTTTTCGAGATGAGGCTCTAAGAATGTTTCTGAGTGGATCAAATATATTGTTATACCTATAGCCGAAGATTCATTCGCCCAGTCAGAGAACCTTCCGCCTTTCCGTGCATTTTACCACAAATATCGGGGACAAGTCGGGTTATTAGAATGACGCTACGGATCTATTAATATCAGATACAACGCAAAGTCGGATATTAATACCGATGCAGTTGAAAAGCCAGTTGCAATCATATAGTCTATCTTTGAGTATATTATAGTTCCCTTTATTGTGATCAAGACATTTAAGGGAAGCATTGCTGACTTTTACAACCCTGGCAAGCAACTCCTTTAGCGATAACAAAAGAGTTAGGTGAAATCGGTCTCCTGATCATATAGCAGGTACGCAAAAGTCTTTATTTCCGCACATTCGAACAAATCCGAAATTCTGTCAGTTAAAATAAAGCTATAGTGTAATTGATAAAAAAGCGAGGTTAAACTGGATCCGTAACTTTCCCACCCAGTCTACTTCCAAATTACGGTGCTAATGTTAAAGTGCTTCAGTACCAGAAGGATATCACCGGAGCTTAAGGGGGTAGATTTAGTTTGCATCTGATACTCAAGTGTAGTATAAGCGTTGGTATGAGATTATGGCGCATTGGTTGCGCAAGAATAATATGAAGTTGTAAGCAATCTTCACTTTGACCAAACGTGGGATTGAATTAAGGGGCTTATTATGTGCTCCACCTCCTTTTCTAAGAAGTCTACCATGTCGAAACACATGAAAATTTGGAGAAAAGCATACGGAGTTATTAGTCTTTGACTTAAGCCATCTCTCAATAGGGGCGAGAATACGATACATGGATTACATAAAGGCAAGAAGTGTCCTCCTTAAATTACTATCCAAACCAAGAACTAGACCCACGCTGCTTGAAAGCGATTCCGTTCGTATTAAGACTACTATTATTGTCAGTAGAGCCACGGTAACCTAGTCTTTCGACGAAAAACGACGACATCTTTCAACCATTGCCTGTGTTTGGGGATTGATAAAGGAAAGAGTAAGTAATAATTAAAAGTGGGCGTGATAATCACATATCTTTCTTAGACGCTTTGTTTATTCATTGCTTCCAGCATTTCGTTTTTTTCTTAGTTCTCCCAGATTGAGGATTTTTGTGTTTCAGCTATCGCTTCACTTCTTCTTCATATCCTGCCAGCCAAAACTCATCAGATTGTTTAACTTTTGAAGACTTTTCAATGTAGCTAAACGGCTGCCTTATCAATCTTTGGCGCGGGACACTTTATAATGGGAAGAAAGGCCATTGCCTGGAATAAACAAGTAATCTACCAGCCGGACATTTGCAAAGAAAATATTTGTTACGCAGAGAATTATGCTCAGGATTACCAAATGCGAAAGTAGTCGTTTAATTCGATAAGAGTTGGGAATAGCTAAAGTATTCAGCTTTTGGAAGACTGCCTAGTTCAATATATTAACGGAGTTGACTATGGTCTTGCGCAGTATTATTTAATGCTTATTAGTCTCAGTAGCATCCTAAGTTTTCGAAAACTATTCTTCAAATTGTGAAAAGAATTGGTGAAGAAGCTTGCCTAATGACTTTGCAACTTGTTAGTTTCAATTATGAAACCGGAAACTTTTCTTTGGAACCGAATGAGAAATTAGTTCCGCTTTTCAAGTCCAAGAGAAGGCAACCGACGAACGGACAGACACACCTACATTTCTGCTTAACCTTCAAGTTGAAATTTTTGAGATATTTTGATAAAATTTGTGATATGAGAATATTTCCGCCCATGCTTCGAAGCATTTTTACAATCACTGCCTATTTCTCTGTCGCTCTATTTCTTGTGTGAATTAACACTTCTGTACTTGTGCCCTTCAGAGGGTACCGTGGTGGTTGTGGTTGCTATCATTCCTAAAGCGAATAATTAGAGATTATGATACGCCCTAACACTTCCCAGAGTGGGTTTATTGAGCCATACACTATAAAAATATCTGATTTCTCCAGTGTAGTTTAGGCCCATAGCTTATAGGGATTGTCTAACTCTCTGCCGGGCACCGGTTACACAAAATTAACGCGTCTTTCATCGTGGAGTTAAACCATGGAGGTAGTGTACCCACGTTAAACACATCTGTGTGGTTATGCAATATTTTTGAACAAAAAAAAAATGCTTTTTTAATCCTAAACGTAACCTTAAGAACTGCAACGAATATTGCACTATTTACCACTTTTACTGTTATCCCATAAAAATGGTTAAAAATATAGGTTACTTTGAAGCTTTTACAGTGATATCATCTCCTGATAAATATCAGACAGTTAGTACCTTATAACTCGATGTGAGGGAACGATAGAATCCGTTACAACTTTTATATACTTTCTCAAGATAATGAATATCAGACGATTTCTTACGAGAGATAATATATTATCTCAGATGTTTGATCTACTAACTAAAATTTCTATTTAATTAACTTGAAAAAATTTGAAGTTTAAATTTACAATCGAAACACGATTTTGAAAATATTATGTAAAAAAAGCATTAAAACATCATTAATTTTATTGTTTTTGTTGTTGTTGTTTTTATTTATAAAAAAAAAAAAAAACACGTTTTAATTAATTAGGCAAAAAAAAATATTATACACAAAGTTTACTTAACTAATGATGGAAGCGATTAATTGACAAACTGGCAATAAAATTTAACGATTTATGGATGTTTTTTTTTTTTTTTTGAACATTAATCCAAGCAAAACATTGAAGCAATTAACAAAACGGCAACAAAATGCTTCTTTGCATTAAAGAAACAAAAAAAAAAAAAAGATCAAAAAATGAGATAAACCTACAGAATGATGGAAAATAACTTTCAATTAAATATTGATGTTAATTATTTATTAATTCAAAATTCTGTGCGTGGAAGGGGAATGTGATTGCGAATGCAAGCCTATAATGCTTTTTAATGTTGCAGCACAATCTGAGGCCAAGCACACAACAATTGATCAAAAGGTGATCGAATGTTTAGCTAATTGTTGTTATTGTTGTGCTTTATTATTATTATTGTATTTTTCTTTTCTTTCTTTTTTTTTTTTGTATTTCAATATTCATGTTACCGCGCTTTGACATACATACACATTTACACATATACGTGGACACACAACGCGAACATCTTCTTTCACTTTTCTTTTTTTTTGCTTTTCTTAAGCGCTTCGCACACATAGCTTAGAGATGATACTATGGAGCTTAAGCTTACTTTAATATAATTTTGATGAGTTAGTTGTTCGAGTTTTCTTTCTTTTAAATATAATTTTTCTTTTCTCTTATTACAGTTTTTCTTTTTTTTTTTTTTTTTTTTTACAAATTTTTTTTGCAACTCATTTTCAGTTTGTATTCATTCATTCAAGTGACATAGTTTTCTTTTTATTCATTTGTTTTTCTTCTTCTTCTTCTTTTTTTTTTTTTCTTCATCATCTTCCTTTAGCTATGCTTTACTTCGTGCTGTTTGTTGTGTTGTAAGAAAAGAAGAAAAATCTTTATTTCACATCTCTCACGAATAGCTAGAAGGAGAAGAAGAAGAAAAACATCTAACTTCTTTAATGGTTAATTTCAACATAGAAAACCAAAAAAATGCAAAAATCTTGCAATTGGTTAACAGCAACAACAAATCATTTAAACCGGTTTGCTTTAGAAAAACCACATAAATTGAATGCATTTAGAAAATTTTAATGAAAATTTGATACCAAAAAGAGAAAAAAAGAAATATTTCAAAATTCTTGTTTATAGTTTTCGGAAATTGATTTTTTTTTTCTTCGCAAAACCAAAGATTTAAGCAAAAAACTTTTTGCCCTTTTTATTTTGCT